ATATGTTGTTGATATGTATGTTTTTACGTAATTAACAAAAACATGCATTCCGATTCTTTTGTCTAGGTACTGTATGTTGATTTATTTTCTTATAAAAATTAATTGTATTTAACTAAAACTAATTTATACAAAAAATAATTAGGGAAATACATTTTTCAAATCATTGTATAAAGTGCAATTATTTGGTATTTGCAATGAAGCTATTCCAGAACAAGTATATTTCATTTAAAAATAAAAATTTTAAAAAAATATATTAATATTTTTTCATTAATTTCAGGTAAATTTTCTAATTCCTGAAAAATATTCAGTAGGAAAAGGAGCTGATGCAGTAATCTCTATGGTGCACCATTATTTTAAAAAATATGGAGGGTGAAAAAAATATAACCATTCATGCTGATAATTGTTCTGGTCAAAATAAAAATAATGCAATGCTATGGTATTTGACTTGGTGAGTTATGAATGGATACAATGAAAAAATTACATACTCTTTTATGGTACCTGGGCATACTAAATTTGCAACAGATGGTTTTTTTGGATTAATAAAATTAAGATTGAGAAAATCTGATGTTGATGACATTGATGATTTAGTTCAAATTGTCCATGAGTCCAACTAGATCTATGTATAATCTGGCACAACCTGTTATGATAATAATGAAAAGAAAGTTAATTTCTATCAATGGAATAACTTTCTCTCAAAATATTTTAAAAAGCTTCCTAATATATCAAAAATGCATCATTTTACTTTTGAGAAAGAACATCCAGGTTGGGTGAAATATAAAAAACAACATGATGAACCTGATAATTATAGCTGTCTTTTAAAAAATCATGACTTTAGATTTGATTCTATAATTTTAGAGGATGAATTGGAAACAAAGGAGCCAATAGGATTAACCCCAACTAGACAGTGGTATTTGTATGATGAAATACGAGACTTTGTGCAAAATCCTATTAAGAAAGATATCATTTGTCCAGAACCCACTGTAGCTAGACCATGATTTTTTTAGAAATTTTATCTTTATTGTTATTTATTAATTTGTCATATAATTTATATATTTATTTATTTTATATATTTTATTGTTTTAAAAAATCAACTATTTTTTTTAATTTTCTGGGACAAGATCATCACCAATTTTCTATTTTAGAATTTTCTGGAACAAGATCATCATAAATTTTCTATTTTAGGATTTTATGGGACACAATTTACTTTTATGGAAATTTCATAATAAAAAACTTAATACCCCTTTTTCTCAAAAACATATTTTATAAAAATTCGGCCTTTTTTGCTGTCCATGCCCCAAATCAAAGACGTTTTAAAACCACTCCCTGAAATTCTTGGTAATACAAATGTTCACTTTATCTGGTTTTGTTGCAGTATGCCCCATATAGTAATAACAACAATAATAAATAAATTTCCTTGAAAAGAGTGGCTTAAATTTTTTTGTATCCTATTATACTAGATTGATTATCATTATTGTTGTATTATTTTACAAACAAAAAACTCTTCATAACTATTTTTTCTCGATTAAAAAGAAATGAACTTCATTTACAAAAATAACAAAGAGGGAATTAATGAATGATTAATATTAATGGCGAAATAAAATAGCCGACGAATAAATTCCAAGAAAATAAATAAAATGAAATTTAATAATGAAATTTATATTAAATTAGTCAAATTTGTGGATCAACAAGAATCAATATATTTGATAATAAATTAATTATTTTTCTTGAAAATAAAAAATAAAAAAAATAATTAATTCTCTTAATTAATAATTCAAAAAATGGAAGCAATTAAACAATACAGAACCATTTGTCCTTTTCTTCGCAATACCAACATTACAACTCTTCGTCATTTCGCTAGAAAGTCAAACGAGGCTGGAAGCAATGGTTTGGTTACTTTGGCTCAAACTTGTCCTGTTATGAGTAAAGCTTTAGCTGTTCAAAGCAAAAATTGTTTGCATACTTCAGTCAAATTGAATCAACGACCTACTTCTCCTTTGAAGCAAGTTTCCATCGTTTCTGTTCCCAATCCCATTGTTAACAATATTAAGAACCCATCTCACCATCACAATTATCCGAAGCATCATCCTCAACAACAAGTTCCTTGTAAACACGTCGAAAGTTCTAGGCAACAGCAGCAGCACATTATGCCAACTACTCATCACACTAAGGCTAAATTATTTGATTATGAGGCACTTTATTCTGATGAATTGAATAAAAAACACCAAGATAAATCTTATAGATATTTTAATAATATTAATCGTCTTGCTAAACATTTTCCAAAAGCTCACACTGCCAACACGAATGAAAAGGTTACTGTTTGGTGTAGTAATGATTATCTTGGAATGGGCAGAAATCCTGTAGTTCTTGAATCTATGCAGTAAGTTTTACAAATTTTCTTTTGAAAGAAGAAACAAGTAATGAATTTATTTCTTGATTCCTTACCTTCCCTTCTTTCTTCTTCCCTAATAATAATGATGATGATGATAATGAATAGAAATGTCATGAATACTTATGGTGCTGGTGCAGGTGGTACTCGTAATATTGCTGGTAATTGTAATTCCCATTTACAATTAGAAGCTGAATTAGCCGATCTTCATCACAAACCTGCTGCTTTAGTTTTCACTTCTTGTTATGTGGCAAATGATAACACACTGAGCACTTTGGCTTCAAAACTTCCTGGCTGTGTAATCTTTTCTGATTCTTCAAATCATGCATCAATGATCCAAGGTATTAAACATTCTGGTGCAAAAAAATATATTTTCAAACATAATGATCTAAAAGATCTTGAGGAAAAACTTCAATTGGTTGATATCGATATACCAAAAATCATTGCTTTTGAAAGTGTCTATTCCATGTCTGGCTCTGTTGGTCATATTGAAAAAATTTGTGATTTGGCCAAGAAATATGGCGCAATTACCTTTTTGGATGAAGTTCATGCTGTTGGAATGTATGGTCCTCGTGGTGCTGGTGTTGCTGAACATTTGGATTTCGACTTGAATGCTCGTTATCCTTATGCTGGTAATGGCAGTGTTCTAGACAAAATCGACATCATCTCTGGTACACTTGGTAAAGCATTTGGTGTTGTTGGTGGATATATTGCAGCTTCAGCAAGTCTCGTGGATATGATCAGATCATATGCCCCTGGATTTATTTTTACCACTTCATTGCCACCTTTCATTGCTGCTGGTGCTAAAGCATCTATTCAACATTTGAAAAAATCAAACAAAGAACGTGCAATGCAACAACTTAATACTCGTTTGTTGAAAGAACGTCTTGCTCAATTGGATATTCCTGTTGTGCCAAACCCTTCTCACATTGTACCTGTATTAGTTGGTGAGGCTGAAACTTGCAAAATCGCATCTGACCAATTGTTAAGTAATCATGGCATCTATGTTCAATCAATCAATTACCCAACTGTTCCCAAGGGCGAGGAACGTCTCAGAATTACACCCACACCTGGTCATAATCAACAAATGACCGATTATCTTGTTAATGCATTAGAAATTATCTGGCGAGAAAATGGATTGAAACGTGTTAATGATTGGAGACTTGAGGGTGGCAAAGCTGGAGTTGGCACCAATGATCCAACCCCTAAGCCAGTTTGGACTGATTATCAATTAAATAATATTAATGGCAAGAATAATGTCAAAGAAATTAGTGCTAATGAATTTAATTCTAAAAATTTAAATATTATGGCTTATTAAATGAACATATATATGTGTGTGTTTAATATAATGATTTTTATTTAAAATTTAGCTTAGAAAGTTTTGGCCTAAATATGTTATTTTGTTATTTTATGTTATTTAAAATCTTAAAAAATAAAATTTTTGAGCAATGAATGAAAGGTTGGGTAAATTGGCACCATTCACTAATGTTCATTATAGAAAGTAAACTCCAAACATCCCACCACAGAATTTTAATCACGAATTTACAATTGATGTAATTTTATTTTAACTCGCAACATAATTATTATATTCATATATACATTAGTAAATAATTATATAATTGCATTTAATACTTCCTAAATTGAAAACATCGTTTAGCAATCAAAAATTTCCAGCACTCACTATATTGATTGCATATACTTTTTTTTTAAATAAATTCCTTCTTTTAGTGATTTTAGCCAAGGAGTTTAACTTTGACAATTATAATTATAATTATTTGGGGAAGAAGGTAAAATTTCTCTAGCTTCATTAATTGATTGATTAATTGTTTATTTATTTGTCATCAGATTGTTTCCTCTTCTTTGCCAATTCTTTTTCTTTTTTGTTAGCAATTTTGTTAGTATTGGTACTGGCTTTTCGTATTTTCGAGATGTTATTTTCTGTTGTTGAATTGTCGTTAGAAAGAGATGATGATATAGAAGGACCTATCAGAGATTTTTTTCCAACCAGTCCATACAGTAATTCAATTTCTTTTTTCCAATCATTAAATGTTTTATCATCAGCTAATGGTGTTTCTAATATCAATGGTATTTCATTTAATCGATCATCATTCATTATCAATCGAAAAGCTTCCAAACCCAAATGACCTTCGCCGATATTCTGATGTCTATCTCTGTTTGAGCCTAATTCCAGAGTCGAATCATTTAAATGCATTCCTTTTAAATATTGAAAACCAACATGCTGATCAAATTTTGACATTGTCTCCTCATATGTTTTACTTGTGCGTAAATCATAACCCTAAGTAAATAATAAATAATGGATTAATAATTAATCAATTTAATCAATTTATTAAATAATCATCAAATAAAATTACTGCTGCAAATGCATGACATGTATCAAAGCATATTCCAATACGACTTTTATCTATAGATTATTAATTAATACATGAAATACAAAATGAAGATTAATAAATTAATTAAAAAAAAAAAAAAAGATAAATTTTCATTTTATTTACCCTTGACACGTGAAATTATTTCACCAAGCTCTTCAAATTTTGAACCAATAGAATTTCCCTGACCAGCCTACAATAGTAATTTAAAATGATCATTGTAACTATTATTACTAACATAATATTTAAAATACCAGTTAGAAGGTGAACACACCATATTTTCAACAACACATGTTATGCCAATTGTTTCACCGTGTGCTCTATTAATACAATCAGAAATGTTTTGTATTGCTTGATCTACACTACACATTCCAACAGTAGAACCTGGACTCCAATTATTGTAATCATAAAAAAATATAATTTTGGGGTTTCCAATTATTTTTTACTTTACCAATGAATAACATGTTATGATAAATATGATAAAATTATAACATACTGAAAGTTATATAACACTAGGCCTAAAGCTTCACATCTCTTCAAATCATCCAAAAATGCTTGATAACTTTTTTCTCTCTTTTCCTCATCTGGATTTGCCAAATTGACTAGGTAATTTCCATGTGGAAGAATATATTTTGCAGGATAATCGTGTTTGATACACAAGGATTGAAAAGATGAAATATGATCAGTATTAAGTGGAGGTGATTCCCATCTACGCTGATTCTTCAAAAATATTGCAAATGCATTTGCTCTAAATAATAATATTTCAGTTGAATGATTTAATTGGCAAAAAAAAAACTTTCTGAACATGACACTTTGCTTACCCAATAGATAAGCTATTCTTTATCGCATTATGCACTCCGCCAGCCATGCTAACATGAGCGCCAACAAATTTTGTAACATTTGCAAGTCTTTTCGGGAATAAATTCATGTCTTCCGAGCTGATTTCATTTATTATCTCTTTAACATAATTTTTACTATTTGTATCTTCAAGATTTTTTTCTTTTTCTTCTTTGATTACTGCGTATTCAATTTTACTGTTGATTCCGGTTTTCTGTCGCGAATTTTTAGCACGTTTTGTACGTTTTTCGTTATCATTCTTGAGGTTCTTTGAATCTTGATCTTTTTTTGTCATATCAAAAAATACCTTATACCACCAGGACCCCTGAATATACTATATATATAATAGACCAGATTTGGAATTTCTAAATATATATTGTAATATTTTAGACCCGGGTTATAATAAAATATTCTGCTCCGGGTCAGTACAAAAAATTAGAAATCTTAACCCACTCCATGATGGAGTGATACATAACCCGGGTTGATGCCAGAACATTATGCTCCATTTAACAACCCTACCCTTTTTAAATGGTGATGGGTTTTTTAAAATCCAATGTGTGGATCACATAATATTTCAAAAACTTTAACTTTTGAGTATAGATGATCCGCACTGTACTATGTGTCTATTTTTGTAATCTCCAACCAAAATTCAAAACACTAGCTCCTTTTATTGATTTCTTCAAGACTATTTCTTAATGCATAATTTATTATTATCGTGGTATATTCTACGCACACAATTTATAAGGTCACACAAAGCCATGGGAACAATATGTTAGTGTGAGGAGCTTTCTTTAATTGATAGGATGATTGCTCTGGTTTACATCCTTTTTGTTGGATCCAGCATAGTGGAAGTTTGTTGTTACACGAAACGTTATACAGAACTCATTGCTTCTGAAACTTCGCCAGTATATAGTTGTTACCTCTCTAAATTGGAGATCAAGTTCAGATCCAATTCAAATCCAGTTTATCACTTACTTTTTATTGCTAGAATGTTTGCTGTGTATTGTAAAGTTACGTTGCACAATATAAAAAATTAGTATAACATTTCAAATTTCCACTATGCTGAATAGAGGAATATTATTTATATATGGATTTGAAGTATTATTCGTTGAATTTTCACATATTAATTTGATTATTGTATTGTTTATATTTCATTATTAAATTAATTTAGATTTATAAGATGGTATGACCAAATGTTTGATAAGTAATTTCACCCATCATTAGCCAATAATACTTTTAATGTCAGCCAGGTCTTGAGGATATTTTTAGCATTTTTCCTGTTGTTTGACAATTAATTGATTTTCATTAGTGTTTAGTTAGACTTTGTTGTTGTGACTCTTGAAAACTAGTTATCATTATTCATTCATAAGATATTGTTAATCATTAAATTAAGAAAGTTACATTTATTAAAATAAAGGAACCATACCATATTATTATTTAATATTCAATAATTATTATTTTTGTTTTTTTTTATACATCTGCCTTCACATCCATCATGATGAGTACCCAGTCTTTTGATATGGAGTTTTCGTGACTAGAGCCACAAATATTGTTATAAATAAATAAATCAAAAAATTGCATCACCAAATAATAATAATATTAGGACTATAAATGAAATTTTAAAGAACAATTTTTAAAATAATGGCGAAGGTGAAGGTTGTGAGGATGATGGTAATGGTGAGATATTTGACTGAAAGGAAATCATGTTTCACTTTAGATGTTTTTTGCGTGGTGTCAACCGCTGTCTACCGTTGGGTCTTTGTCTTGCTCCGACGTTTCAGACCGTTCAAAATGACCAAAAACTGATGGTCTTGTCTTGGAACCTTTACCTTGGATCGTCAAAGGCTTGTCACACAACGTATTAGTGATATTTTCTGGTCACGAGACCGGGGTTCAAAAACGTTTTATTTCGTTGTCAATTTATCAAGAGGAAAAAAAAATCTACTGAAAAAGAAGTTGGGGTATTAAAAGAAAACATACGCCTATAAAAATCTTACAAAAAATAGAAATATGAAAAAAAATAGACCCAAACATAAAAAATTAACCAGCTTGCATCTAAATATAATGTCAGTGAAACTACTGTTCTGAAATTCTAAAAGAGTGATTATTTTTATCATTGAATTCTAAATCCTAAATTTTTAAATTTATTACCCCGTAATAATAACTTTGGATTATAAAAAACCCCGTTAATCCGAAGAAAAGTTACTGCAGAATTGCCTTCGGTTTAACGGGTTGCCTGTATAGTTTTAAACCAATTTTAGATAATTATGACAAAAAATATTATTTCTGATGCATTTCTAAACTAATTAATTGATATAATGATCCTTTTTCATCTACAAATCGTGAAATAGGGTTTCTCATAAAAAATGAGACGAGAAATTCATTAAATATAGAAACTTTAGATATGCTGATGCAACTATTAGTATCCTTAGAGAGTCTACCAAGTAAAGAATTTAAGTATATATTAGTTTTGATGATATTCCTGATCTTGTATCAAAACCCCCGGGTATTCCAATTGGACAGGTTACAATCCTACCCCTGTAAAAGATACAGTCGAAATCTTTACAAATAATTAGTAAAATGCCCATTTTTAACTCTAATAATTTTTCATAAAACTATATCAACACAAAAAAGCAAACCGATAAGTTGAAAGAACATTTCGCAGTCTTTCAAATTTATCGGTTTAATTTTTTGCTTTAACACAAACTGGAGGACCTGATGCATTTAGAAGTTACGCACGCTATAATTGTTGATGACTCTAGATGATCAGTATCATATTATGAAAAAATATTCTTTATATGTGGATTTTTTCATGGATTTTAGTTCACTCAAGAAAAAAAGTAAGAGATGATGGTGATGATCATCAGCAGCAGAAAAACTGGCATTTCATACTTTTAGTACAATCAATCAATTTCATTTATGCAATTGATACATTTTAGACATAACAATTTTATTATTAATATTATTAAAATATATTTTTATTGAAATCTAATGAATGGTACAATAAATAAATAAAATAAATACAATATAATTATTCTATTAATTATTCTATTAAATCCTATATTATATAATACAATTAATTTATTAATTGTTATTATCTAGCAGCCAACAATATATTTTGCCCCAACAACACCTTGAATAGTTATTTGCTGTCTTTCTGGAATATGTCTCCATTTAATTTTTCTGTATGTCAAATAGTCAAAATTATCATCGCAATCATAATCATAATCTGATAATCCTTTATTATGGGCAAGTCTGACCATTTCTATACCATAATCACTATATAATTCACTATGAGAAAACCCATTTTCCAACTTTGATTGTCCGTTTGGTTCTACCATTTCAACTTTCAGACAGTAATGTTGTTTCCAAACAATTGCCATGGCAGTAATTCGCATTGTGACAATCTTTTTTCTTTTGCTATTAATATCATTGTCTTTTATATAATTCGAACTTGGCCATTTTTTTATTAATACAAAAGGATAACTATATGACCAATCGTATTCCTTACTTTTAGGTGGAGGGAAGTTTTCAAATAGCAATTTAATGTGATCATGTATTATAAAAATTCCCAAAAATTGAATTCTGCGAAATAAATCTATTTTTTTGGAATAACGAGATAAAATACCATTACTAACTTTTAAATTGTTGTCTCTAATTATATCCATTACTATTTTAAATTCCTTATGAGGATCATAATAACATTCTGGAATTTCAACCCCATGAACAATTCCTTCTTTAATGATATTCTGTGATTTATATTCGGAGAATAAATTTTTGAATGCATTAATATGTTCCCATCTATCCTCCCAAATATGAATTGAATCTGTTAATGGATGTTGTTTAAGCAGATTATCTATAAAAAGAAACTTGTATTTTTTTGTAGATGCTGGAGGCTTTAGATCACATGGTTGACTAATTATATAATTATAATAATCAATGCCTAATTTTTTAACACTATTTTGACTATAAACAAGATTCCATTCAAGAGCCATATGAATTGGCTTAAAGCCTAAAACATCAAAACGTAATCCTATATCCTCCAACATTTTAGTGATGGTCTCACTAAAAACTGCATAACAACGACCTGTTAGAAAAACCGTCAAACATTTTGGATCGTTCATTGATTCTTTGACATTGTCTAGTAGACCTTTATTCCACCATTCATTCCACTTGTTTGACTCTGTAGGCTCACCTAGATCCAAAGATCTTGAATCTTGATACCAACCTTTGCCATCTGTAAATTGGTTTAACAAAACTCCAATTAATGTTTTACTCCATAATTTTGGATTAGGCTTGGGTGATGCAAATAATGTCCCATCAAAATCAAAAATGTTGATACGAGTTATTGGCGACTTCAATCTTTCTAGATTCAAAGAATCACCACCATCAACTCCATTCAATGATGGTAATGATAATGAACATACTGATTCTAAAAAGTATTTTACATGGGATCTTGTAAAATTTCCAGAACCAGTAAAAATGCAAACAGAAA